TGCAACCCCGACGCTGACAGCCAGGCAGGCGGCAGTGCCAGGAAGCTGTGACAGCCACAATGGGCCGGCTTCCGTCTCCACACCCCCCACGCCGCACACAAGCGTCCCATTCACGTGGCGCTCCCAGGGCCTGGCACAGGTTCTGAGGCTTCTCGCGGGCACAGAGCACGCCTTTGTTGAGTAGAGGAAGGAAGGCAGCAGCGGCTCAGATGCAGGAGACAGCGGTGCGGGCGCCCAGGAAGCTGGGGTGGGGAGGCAGCATCGGGAGCAGGGAGAAGCCAGAGGAAGGGGCTGCCCAGCCAGGCCCCCCACCAACGCCGGCTGGGCCAGCTGTGTGCGGCCCTGGAGGAGCTTCCGGCCCACAGTGTGGGCGGGGGGTGGTAAGAAGGTTGGGGAATGATGGCCAGTGCATGCTCTAAAGCCGATTCTGCCCATGCGGGGTCCACATCTCGGTGCTCAGGGCTGCTGAGCAAAAGAGCGAACAGAGCTGAGCTCCAAGGTCCCATCAGCATGGGAAAGGAGGGCAGACAAAGAGAGGACAAAACACCCCAAACCAACAACCCCAAATCCAGTTCAGTGGGTCACCTACTCCCAGGACAAAGCCACTTAAGTAATGACACAATCCCAACAGCTAACAGAGGGGAACAGTCTAGTGTCCCTGGAGGGGTGGAGGGACACACAGGTCCACTGACATACTGGAATATTACTCAGCCAAGAAAAGGGGCAAGGCTGTGACCCTCACCACAGCATGGATGGACCTTGAGGACACTGTGCTCAGTGAGAGATGCCAGACACAGAGGATGCACAGCGTGGGCTCCACGGACAGGAAACGCCCAGGACAGGCAAGCCCAGAGACAGGAAGTGGACTCGGGGTACCAGGGCTAGAGAAGGGACAGGTGACTGCTCAGAGGGAGAAGGGATCTTACTGGGGGAACAGAAGCTCTAAAATTGGCTTATGATGATGGCTGCACAATTTGATAAGTTTGAAAAAAAACCCTGAATTATCTGCTTAAAACGGCAGCATTTTAAAATATGCAAATAACACCTCTATTTAAAAAAGAAAACACAGAAGACTTCCCGCTTCGCAGGGTTCTCAGGAAGAACGAGCGACTGTGTCTACAAGCCCCTTGGAGCTGCCCACGAGCCCCACCACCCCCGCAACGGGACCAGACAGTGGTGAGGATTCCCCCGGAGCCCGGATGGAAGTGGCCCATCCCAAGGACAGGAGCAAGTAGCTGGGGCTGGCATGTGACAAAGAGCAGCTCATCCCAAGCCTCCAGCTTTCCCATGCAGGCACAGATGGTGACTTTTCCCCACTTTTCAAAGGACAGAGGACAAGTCAAAGGGTGGAATGAAACCGGACATGGTGCCACACACCTGTCATCCCAGCTCTCTGGGAGGCTGAGGCAGGTGGATCTCAACTTGGAGCCCAGCCTGGGCATCTTAGTGAGACCCTACCTCAAAATAAAAAAATATAAGAAGGCTAGAATGTAGCTCAGTGCAAAACCCTTGGGTTCCATGCCCAGTAGCACACACACACACAATAAAAATAAAAATACCATTTCTGTTTCCAGATGCAAATGAGAAAATCTGTTATCACACCTTGAATTGGAAAGATGCCTTTTACGTTACTCTCTGGTGTAGCTGGAAAATGCTTCGTTCAGTAAACACAAAGCTGAGTGCCTGCCCACGAGGGGAATTTATGTGTAGCTGCCTCTCCCTTCAATGACAGGGCCCCATGCTTTATTAACATGAGACAAGAACAGAAAATAATGGCATTACTCAATGGTTGTTTTTCTAAATAAAGTTCCTCTGTAAGACCATGAATTACCTGGAGATTTCAAGCTTCTTTAGAATAAGCTTCAGGCACTTTGTTAAAAGCAAAAAGCCATAGGCATGGTGGCACAGGCCTATAATCTCAGCACTCGGGAGGCTGAGGCAGGAGGATCACCGTGAGTTTGAAACCAGTCTGGGGTACATAGTGAGAACAAGGTCAGCCTGAACTACAGAATAAAACCCTGTCCATTAAAAGTCAACAAGAAGAAGAAGGAAGCAAATGATAAAAGTGGGCATCTTTGCCAGGTGTGGTGGCACACATCTGTAATACCAGCATTCAGGAGGCAGAGGCAGGAGGATCACTGTGAGTTCGAGACCAGCCTGGGCTACATAGTGAGTTCAAAGCCAGGCTGAACTACACAGCAAGACCCTGTCTCAAAAAGTAGGGGGCATCTTTCAATGCCTAGAGCCAATTAACCACAAATTCAAATCAATATAAGGGTTCAAAAGCCACAAAGAAGACTCAGATAGAAATAACTCAGTACACCTGAAAATTTTCTAAGAGCAGTATGATTTCTTTTCTCCTCCCTAAAGGACAGCACTAAACAAGCACAAACTCCGAATGGCCACACTTCCTGGCATCAAAGATGAGACAAGGGTCTTATTTAGTTCCCCTCACCCCGCAGTACAGGGGATTAAACCGGCGCCTCACACTGAGCTATATCCCAGCTTCACTCTTTTCTTTTTCTTTCTCTCTCTCTCTCTTCCTTCCTTTCTTTCAACAGTGTCTCACTAAGTTGCTAAGGCTGGGCTTAAACTTGGAATCCTCCTGCCTCAGCCTCCCAGGGTGCTGGAGTGACAGATAATGTGCCAACAGGCCTGGCTGAGATGGGTTCTTTAAATGGGCAAATAAGTTTCGTTCTCAGCCAGAATGACCCTGCTCCCAGAGGACCGCATGTCTGGGGACATACTCAGTTATCACAACTGGGGAACTTCTAACGTGGGGCAGGTGGAGGCCAGGACACCCGACAGAGCATGACCCAGCCACAGCGTGCACCATGGCTAGGCTGAGGAACCTCAACTGTATCATGAACTCAAGTTTAAAGCTCAAACTTAACAAGCATACAACTTGTTCCTAGTCTGATGGCTCCCTAGGGGAGCACATCTGAATGACTCCTTATGGGGTACCCCTAAGTCAGAAGAACCTGGGGACCTTCAGTTAAACAGATACACATATCCACTGACCGGACTTTGTCTTCTTCTTTCTATTTAGTTTTTATTTTCCTCCTTTTAGTAATGTGGCGGCACACACCTGTCATCTCAGCACTCGGTGACTGGGGCAGGCCCGGCCTGGGCCACTTAGCAAGACCTTGTCTCCAACTACAAAATAAACAGCCGGGTGTGGCAGTACACCCCTGTAATTCCAGCACTCGGGAGGCTGAGGCAGGAGGATTGTGGCGGGTGCAAGACCAGTCTGGGCTACAAAGTGAGCTCAAGGCCAGCCTGAACTGCATAGCGAGACCCTATCTCAAAAAAGCAAAAAAAAAAAAAAAAAAAAAATGGCTGAGGATAGAGCTGAGTCCAAAGGCCAAGGATCAATCCCAGTACTACAAAATGATAATAATAATAGTGAGACGTTTGGTCTCCCCCCGACCCCTGTCTCCCTCCCCCCCCCCCACTTGCACACTCTATTTTGAAGCTCTTGCGGGGTGATTCTCCTGTGTGCACCATGCCAGCCAGACTGGAGTCAATTCCACTTGTCTCCTCTCCTCCCCTCAGTGACAACCCCAGAATTCTCCTTCCCGCCCCACCTTCATTTAGAACGTTCGCTCCAGGCTTTTCCCCTCCCTCTGCAGCCAGGACCGGATCCTGGCAATGACCCTGCAAGTCCTAGCTCTGGCCCTTTTATTATTCTCACTTGGCGGGCGAGGAAAGAACACCTCAGAGGTGACACTGACGGGACAGCACAGGCAAACTCTGAACAGAAGCCTGTCACCGAGGGCCTGGATCTCAGGGTCACCCGCACACACCAGACCAGTTCAGGAACTCGGCAGCTGCTTTGCCGACACCCAGCAACGATCTGCGGATCTAGCTGGGGACCTGGTGCTTGGGATCGTCACGCCTGTCTTCAGCCGCCCACCTCCGGCCTCAGCAGCCCCCGCTATCCCGGAAAAATAAAGTGCCACCCACACCCCTCACTCGGTAGCATCAGCCCCCAAACTCCCACTGTCGCTCCTGAAAAATTCTGTCACCTGTGTCAGCTCTGCTGCACCTGAGGTGTTTGCCTCGCTGCACCCTCCACCCTGAAAGAGGCGGGGCAGAGTGCTGTAGACGCTGTCGGGGACTCGGCCCGACGCCCGCTCCACACGGAATGATCCGCACCGCCCCACAGAGCCGATCGCACCCTGACGCCTGACCATCAGATGTGGCCCCAGACCTCCGATCTCCTCTTTTCTCTAGCCAGCCTCTACACAGACTCCTGTCCCCAGGTCCCCAGCCCCCTGCCCTGGCTCCCCACATCCATCCCTTCGCACCCCAACTTCTCCTGAACCCTCCTCCACTGCACACTCTCCCCTGCCCCTCACACCCCTCTGGCAAAAGTCTGGTCCACCCACCCGCACCCCTCCGCTCCTCCCTGGCTCCTGCTCGGACTTAAACTTTGTCCCCGGGCTCCTTCCCAGCTAACCCTAAACCCCGGGTCCCCCAGTAATCACCCTGCCAGGGCAACTCAACCTCCCAACCCCGGCTGCAGCCCCCTCGCCGGCCAACCTGACGCCGTCCTCACACACTCTGCAGCCCCTTCCCCTGCAAATCCCGCTCCAAACGCCGTGCCCAGCGCCCCCCAACTAACTGGGATCCCCAGATCTCTCAGATAGCCCTGACCCTCCGATCAGCTCCGTCTGCTCCCCGGCTGATCTGGCCCTGCAACTCCTGGCTTCCTCCCAGCTGAGCCCTCTAACGCACCCCCAGCCCCCTCCTCACTAACCTGCACCCTCCCGCCCCACCCCTCCTCAGCGGACTCCGGCTCCCCACTCCGAGACCCCCTCCATAGTGAGCCGGGCCCCCGACTCCGGCCCCCGCCCAGCTGACCCGGTGCCCCAACTTCAGCCCCCTCTCCAGCTGACCCTGACCCCCAATCCCAGGGCCCTCGCCAGTGGACCTGAGCCCCCACCTCCGGCCCCAGCCCCCTCCACAGCGGACCGATCCGCCGCAGACGCCCTCACCTGCGCTACGGCCCGCCGCCGCCTCAGCCCCGCCGCGCAGCCGAACCCGCCGCCCCGGCCCGCGAGTGCGGGCTCCCTCTGAGGGGCGGAGCCTGCGCGCGGGGGGGCGGGCCCGGCGCTCCCTGAGTGACCAATCGAGATCCCAGACGCCGGAGGCCGGAGCAGGAGGCGGGGCGAGAAGCAGGCAGCGGGGTAGGCTGCGCCCAGGAGAGCAGGGCGGAGCTTCCGATGCGGGCGGGCCCAGAGGGCGGAGCCTTGAGTGGCACTGCCGCAGGCCATCTGCGAACTAGGAACGCGCGAGGAAGGCGGAGTTATGCTAATATGCAAATCAGCACGCTGTAGTGGGCTCCAAAGCGAGCAAAGAACAGGTTTCCAAAGGTGACTGCGTCACGTCAAGGCAGTTCTCATGTTCGAATCCCGGGCGCGGCGTGGAGTTCAAATTGCGAATCCTAGCTCCGGAGGCTCACTGCCCCGGGAAGAATGTCAAAAATAGTAACTGCAGCGGGACTTTTTTGAACACTGTAGAGTCTCCCTCTCATGGAACCCCCTGCGTAAGGCTTGAAAATGAAACGATTATTATTCCTGGTACTGAAGACTGAATCTAGGGATTCCTGAGTGCTCAGCAGGCTATCATCACTGAGCTACATCTCTATCCCTTTTTATTTTGAGATGTTTTCACTAAGGTATCCAGGCTGGCCTTAAATTTGCAATCCTCCTGCCTCAGCCTCCCAAGTGCTAGAATCGCAGGCGTGCACATCTGGAAGAGAATGAAGCTGTCGTATTTCATGGCCTCAGGAACTTTGTTCAAGGCTGAACCTCTGTGATCTCCAGCTGCTGGCCTCCAGGCTCATCTCCCTAGGACGCCTGTCTTCCCCGCAGGAACCTCTGTTCCTCCGGCAGGCGCCAGCTGTCCACCCCACCCCTGCAGGACTCGGGGAGCCCAGGCACCTGGGACGCACCAACCCTCCCACCTGCAACAGGACAAGGTTGCCTGAGTGCACACCCCCTAGAAGACAGAGTGTTCAGTGCAGTCGCAAACAGGAGGCCCACCAGGTACAGTGTGACCAAAACCCTTCACAATTTTAAATCTATTGGCAATGTTTTAAGATCAAGATATTTGGAGATGGGGCGTGACTTGGTGGTAGCCGAGTAGAGCATGTGTGAGGGCTTGGGTGCAACCCCCAGAACCAAATGCAGAGAGAGAAAAAATTATAAGAACATAATTTTAAACATCAGGAGCCAGGCATGGTAGCACACACCTGTAATCCAAGCACTTGGGAAGAGGAAGCAGGATAGCCAGCAGCCTGGGCTACATTGTGAGTTCAAGACCAGCCTGAACTATTCAGGAGGCTGAGGTAGGAGGATCACCATGAATTCGAGGCCAGCCTGGGCTACTTAAGCAAGTTCAAGGTCAGACTGCACTACACAGTGAGATCCTATCTCAAAAAATAAATCAATAGGGGGACTAGGGACATAGCTCAGTGACACAGTGCCTGCCTGGCAAGTGCGAGGTTGTGAGTTCGATTTCTGGTGCCACGCAAAAAAAAGAATGCCCAATAAAAATTGCTTAATAAATAAAATTTTAAAAAGAAATTGAAAACATGTAATTGTATACATGGAATGTTTTGAAATGTGTATACTTCCCGGACGAGCTAAACCAGTTCAAATCCAAAACTCAGATTAGAACATTTAAGGGTTTTTTTTAAATTCTTTTTTTCCTCTTCTCCTCCTTCTTTTCCTCCTCCTCTTCCTTCTCTCTCTCTCTCCCTCTCTCCTCAGATTCAAGTTTTAAGTAGTGATGAAAGCTATGTGTGGTGGCACACACCTGCCATCCCACTACTTGGGAGGCTGAGGCAGGAGGATCCCAAGATTGAACCCAACCTGGTCAATTTAGTGATTGAGTGAGACCCTTTTGCAAAATAAAAATTAAAAAAAAAAAAAAAGAAAGAAAGGACTGGCTGGGTATGGTGGCACATGCCTGTAATCCCAGCACTGGAGAGGCTGAGGCAGGAAGATTTTTGCGAGTTCCAGACCAGCCTGAGCTACAAAGTGAGCTCAAGGCCAGGCTGAACTGCATACCGAGACCCTGTCTCAAAAAGACAAAAACAAGAAAGAAAGAAGAAAAAAAAGGACTGGAAATGTAGTTCAGTGCTAAGGTCCTGGGTTCAATCCCCAGTGCTGCAAAAAAAGTTTTTCTTTTTTTTTTTTGTTTCTTCCCGGTACCGGGAATCAAACTCATGACCTTGCGCTTGCGAGGCAGGCACTGTGCCGCTGAGCTAAATCCCCAGCCCTCAAAGTTCTTCTTTTTAAGAAATAATAGAGACCTCAGTGTAGTTGTGTGTGTGTGTGTGTGTGTGTGTGTGTGTGTTTATGCGTGTTTGAGACAGGGTCTCACTATGTAGCCCAGGCTGGCCTCGAACTCATAGTGATCCTCTTCCCCCCACCTCCCAAGTGCTGGGGTTCCAGGAATGCGCCACCACGCCAGTCCCAAGTGTACTTTCCATCCACTTTCCCCCAGCGGTAATGTTTTACAAAACTGTAATACAGTGTCACACCAGGATGTGATACTGCACTTCCACCAGGACGTGTCTTCCTCCCGCCCATCATAGCCACGCCCACTTCCCTCCTGTCCCCAGCCCCTGTCCCTAGCCACAGGCACTTGTGATCTCATCTCCCCTTCTGTGATCTTGTTGTTTTGAGAATGTTATCTATTGCTCAGCATGCACAAAACCTTGGGTTCCATCCCCAGCACTGGAAAAAAAATTATATAGGTGGAATTATACAGAATGCAAGCTCTTTTGGTGGTTGGCATTTTTATCTAAAGATTCCTCTTTTTTTTTTTTTGGTACCAGGAATCTTCCCACTTGCCAGGCAGGTGCTGTGCCATATCCCCAGCCCCCTCCTCTAGGTTCCTGTTTGTATCAATATTTTTTCCCTTCCTCCCTTTCTTTACTCTTTCTCTCTTCTCTCCCTCTCCCGATCTCTCTGTCCCTGTCCCTGTCTCTGTCCCTGTCTCTGTCTCTGTCTTTCTCTCTTTTGTAGTACTGGGCATGGAACCCAGGACCTTCACACTGAGCTCCATCCCCAGCCCTTTTTATTTTGAGATAGGATCTTGCTAAGCTCAAACTTGAAATCCTCCTGCCTCAGCCTCCCAGAGTGCTGGGATTAAGGGCATCCCACACCATGCCTTATGTCTTATTTTTCTGTCTTGTTTTCTTGGTCTCAGCACACACTAGCAAGCAGTCGCCACTGAGCTGAATCTCCAGCCTATCCCTGTGACTGCTGAGCCCTGTCTCCTGGTACCAGTGGGCCAGTTTTACCACCTGCCCCTGAAGGCTTTATTCATTCTTTCCAGTAAAGCTGCCACAGACACACATGATTTACATGGAGCACAAATCTTCATTTCTCTGGAATAAACGTCTGGGAGTACAATTAGTGTGTCATATGATAAGTGGATGTTTATTTTATTTTATTTTGGGGTTCATTTTTGTTTTTGTTTTGAGACAGAGTCTCGTTGTATAGTTCAAGCAGGCCTTGAGCCTACTATGGAGCCCAGGCCGGCCTCAAACTCACAGCAATCCTCCTTACTCAGCCTCCCAAGTGCTGAGATCACAGGCATGAGCCTCCATGCCAAGCTTTTTTTTTTTCCGGTACGGGGAATTGAACTCATGACCTTGTGCTTGCCAGGCAGGCGCTGTGCTGCTGAGCTAAATCCCCAGCCCTCAAGCTATTTCTGTTTTGTTTTGGTTTGGTTTTGGTACTGGGAATCGAACTCAGGACCTTGCACTTGCCAAGCAAGGCGCTGTGCCACTGAACTATATCCCCGGCCTATTTTTTGTTTTTTGTTTAGATAGAGTCTCACTATGTAGCCCAGGCTGGTCTTGAACTCACAATGATCCTTCTGTCTCAGCCACCTGAATGCTGGGATTACAGGAGTGTGCCACAATGCCTGATGTAGTTTGTTTGTTTTCTTTAACTGCCAAACTTTCTTCCATAATGATGTTTTTGCTTTTATTTTATGATCCTGGGAACTGAACCTGGAACATACTAGACAAGGGCTCCCTCACTGAGCTAAATCCCCAATCTCTTTTATTTTTGAGACAGACCCTCACTAAATTGCCCAGGTTGGCCTTCAACTTGCAATCCTCCTGCCTCAGCCTCCCAAGTAGCTGAGATTATAGGTGTGTACCACTGGGCCCAGCAAGAATTATGTATTTTTTGTTTGTTTGTTTGTTTTTGGTTTTGGTTTTTCTCCGGTACCAGGAACCGAACTCACGACCTTGCGCTTGCCAGGCAGGTGCTTTGCCGCTGAGCTAAATCCCCAGCCCCAAGAATTATGTATTTTTAATGGTTGATTTTTCCCCAGAACATTATAATTGTTAAAAAGTATTGAAGAGTTGAAAGGAAGTTGTATTAAAAACTCACAATATCATTTTTTCTTACTATGTCCTTCTAAAGTTTAAATACTTCATTTATACCCAGGCAGAATGTATTATAATTTTATATTTCTAGTTTTAATGGAAGCAAATTCATCAGTCATGTTGTCAAAATCTGCTTCTGGAAAAAAATCAAGCATTAAAAATGCATAAAGATGTATAGATATAGATAAAGATGCATACATAAAAATAGACGGATAGATACATTATATATGTATGTATGGATATATATATATAGTCTTCTTTCTTTTGCCTGAGGCTAACGGCAGTGTCAGATCCTGTCTTTATTTAAAATTGTAATGTTTATACTTGGAGGCTGAGGTGAAGGGATGGCTGAGCCTGGCAGGAGTTGGAACCAGCCTGGGCAACATAGTCAGACTCCATCTGTTTAAAAAAAAATGTTACTATGTTGTTCAATGCACATTTGTGTTTTGCTTTGTTGGTACTGAGGATCCACTTGAAGGCCTTCACACTGAGCTCCATCCCCAGCGCTTTTTAGTTTTTATGTTGAGACAGGGTGTCTAAGTCATGAAGTTGCCCAGGCTGGGTGTGAACTTGTGATCCTCCTGTCTCAGCCTCCCAGAGCACTGGGATCACACATACATTCGGCCCGGCGTGGTGGCGCACACCTGTCATCCCAGCACTCTGGGAGGCTGGCGTAGGGAGATCACAAGTTCAAACCCAGCCTAGGCAACTTAATGACTTAGACACCCTGTCTCAAAATAAAAACTAAAAAGCGCTGTGTGAAGGTTCAGGTTGAATCCCCAGTACCAAAAAAATAGCAGTAACTTTCAAAAGTTTGGACGGGGTGTGTGACTCTGAGGGAGGGGGCCGTGTGTGGCGGGCAGTGTGCGCTTCAGTGTCTCAGTGGTGACGCAGCCGCATGAAGGTAAATGTGCGGCGCATGTGCTCACGGCCCCCTCTCTCCCCCTGTCGCGCACGTGTAGAACTGATGCAGCCTGAGCGCTGTCAGTTTCCTGGCTGGGAGGCTGCACAACCCTTATGCAAGACGCCATCCGGGAGGGGCGAGGGAGCGACCTCCGGGGAGGTTTCTGCGCACTTTCCTGAGATTCCACCCCTATTCAAGAAAAAAGCTAAAAACCTGCAGTCACCTCTTAACCATAGCCTGAGCTATGTAGTGAGTTCAAGGTCAGCCTGGATTACATAGCGAGACCCTGGCCCCTAAACCACAAAATATATATACATATGTATCAAATAAAATATATCGAATATGTAAAAATGCCAAGGCATCTTGGTGCCGGGGACTGGACCTAGCAAGCTGGACTGTCGCACAGACAGGGAAACTGAGGTTCTTCACCTTGTAAAGTAGGGCCCGGGCTGGGAGGGCAGCTCTGTGGTCGAGCACATGCTTCGCATGCAAGAGGCCCTGGGTTTCATCTCCAGCAACATCAACTAGAGAAGGCTTTAATGCGGGGCTCTTAGCGTGCTGCCCACTGCCCTGAACTGGCCACACAGGGAACCTGAACATTCCCATCATGCCTCGGGGCCCTCTGTGCTAACGGCCTTGACTCTATGTAATCGCCACCCTGCCCACCCTCTGGTCGGCCGGCCTCGCTGGTGCCCACCCCTCCCCTTCCTCTTCTCCAGCTACTCCAGTCTCAGAGGGCTCTGGCCTTGGGACCTTTGCATGTGCTCTTCCCCTGGTTGGTGCTCTTTCCAGGATCCTCCTGGCATAGCATGAATGTCTTTCCCAAGTCAGGTCACCATGATCTCCCACTCTCAGTGCTCTTTGGGGATCCAGATTGATCTTCTCCTCCTATTTTTTTTTTTTTTTTTTTTTTTTTGTCTTTTTGAGACAGTGTCTCACTGTGCAGTTCAGGGTGGGCTTGAGTTAACTTTGTAGCCCAGGCTGGTCTCGACCTCCCAACAATACTCCTGCCTCAGCCTCCCGAGTGCTGGGATTACAGGCACGCAGCCCCACTCCTGGTGATCTTCTTCTCCTTATATACTGAGCTCAGACGCACTCCTCCTGCCTCGGTTTCTCAGGGTCCTGGGAGGACAGGTGTGCACGCTTCCCCAGTTCCCATCCTCTTCTCTGAACACCCTCCTCCTCCCTCCCCTCATCTGCCCCCTCCAGCCCTCCCTGCCCACAGTCTCCTCCCTCATCCTCTGCAGGCGGCAAGCTGACCCCCCCAAAGAAGGGCCACTGAGCTTCGGGGCAACACAAGACCCACATCTTTATTCCAGGAAGACTAAGTCTACAGCAGACGCTACAAAGACCCCATGGCGGGCAGGCGGGGGCTCCCACATGCAGGGGGGGGCGGGGTGGGGTCACAGCAAGCGTAGCCTGGCAGGGCCCCCAGCACCAGGGCTGCCCGGGCAGGGTGGGCAGTGGCCAGGGCAGGCTGCCCCTCCTATTGCAGATGCCTTGCCCCAGGGCGAGGAGCGGGAGAGGCCCCGGGGTGGGCGGCGGCCCCATGGGAATTGTGCTATCAGGGTGCGTCCCTGAGAAAGGGCTGGGACCCCTGTCCAGCCAGGAGCCACTCCCGGGGCCAGGAGAGGGGACAGCAGCAGCTGCCGGGGTCCCTGGACCCATCCAACTTCAGGGCTCAGCTCTGCTGCAACATGAGGCTGCCAGGTCTTCGGGGGCCCCCCACACACCCGGATAGCCCTACACATGTACACACGCTCCCTGCTTCTCTGGGTGTGCCCAGGAAGCATCTATGGAGGGGACAGTCCCCTGAACATGGGAAGAAACTATCGCAATGACACCAAGCCAGATGTGGAGGTCTCTGCCTACATCCTGTTCCACAGGGCCACACACATGTGAGCTCTCACCTTTCTGTCACACATGCGCACACACACACATGCACACAGCTCTCTTACCCCTTCTAAGAGTTGCACCAAAGCCATGCATGGTGGCACACACCTGTCCTCCCAGCATTTTGGGAGGCTGAAGCAGAAGGATCCCACATTCACTCCAGCCTGGGAAACTTAGTGAGACCCTGTCTCAAAATAACAAAATTTAAAAAGGCTTCAAATGAAGCCACAGCCCAGCCAGTGCTTTTTTTTGGAATGACGGGCAAGTCAAACCTAGGGCCTTTATCCTGAGCTCCATCCCAAGCCCTATTTTTTTTTTTTTTTAATCTTTTTGAGACAAGGTCTCACTGTGCAGTTCAGGCTGGGCTTGAGCTCACTTTGTAGCCCAGGCTGGTCCTGAACTCACAATGATCCTCTTGCCTCAGCCTCCCGGGTGCTGGGATTACAGCATGCGCTACCATACCCGGCTGCACCAAGCCCTTTTTTTAATTTGTTATTTTGAGACGAGGTCTCTCTAAGTCACTAAGTTGCCCAAGGGAGTTCTAACTTGAGATTCTTCTGCCTCAGCCTCCCAGAATGTAGGGATGGCAGGTGTGCACCACCATGCCTGGCTCCAGTGAACACCTTCATTGTGGCCTAGTGAGATCCCAAGGAAAAAAATCCAACTCACCCCCACCCAAGCCCCTGACCCACAGAAGCTTCAAGACAGTAAGCGTGTGTCACTTTAGGCTGCTACACTGGTGGACTCCTTACACAGCTCTAGCTGACTGATACAGTCTTCTAGCCAAGAGCCAGCTTGCAACAGACTGGAGCAGACACATTGATCCTCAGAGTGTCAGAACAAACAGGTTCACAGATAAACCATGTCACTCACTCCTGAAAACACAGCCATGTTCAAACAGGTACAAAGACTCACACAGACAGATCACAAATACCCGGTCTTGTCAACAACTGTACACAAATGGCCACACCACCCACCCCACATGTGACCGCGGCCTTTATAACAGATGCCAAACACACCGTCCCAAGCACAGACACACACGGGTGCATGAATATGTCATTCCCAGCCACCTTCACCTAGCTCGGGACAGGACCTGGAGTCCCGGGGAAGTCACCCAGGCGCTGACAGACACCCCACGTCTCATGGCTGCAGAGACCCCAGACCCGGGGAGACTTCCTAGGGCCCCATCTCTGGGGCACGGTTGGCAGGAGGAAGTGGGGCCCCCGGGGGCCTCCACGCATCCTGCTGGTGCTGGATCCCAGCGACCGGCCCTGGCGGGGGCTCAGGTGATATCTCCCGCCACCCCGCCCCAGCACCTCAGATTCCCAACCAGGGTGCTGGCACTGCCCGGCTTCCATGCCAAGGTCTCTGTCTGAGTGGAGGTACCAGGCCGCGGGGTGGGCCGGACCACCCCAGCTTGTGCTGTGGCTGCGTGGGTCCCAGGGTGGGGCTGAGGCTGAGGGGGCGCTGCACAGGCCCTGTGGTTATTGCCTGGTGGCCTGAGGCCCATCCCGCGGGCCCCTCCACCTGCTGTGCAGACAGGGACCAGAGGAGGGACGTGGCTGGGACAGAGGTCGTGGGGGACGGGGGGGCACGGGCTGCATGTTCAACACCAGGGAGGAGAAGGAAGGAGAATCTGAGGTCGCTGTGCATTTCAGCCCCCTCCTCTGGGAGGTCACAGTGATCAAATGTGAGGGACAGGGATGGAGGTCTGGCTGGGGCCCCCAAAGGAACAGGGGGACAGAGACTCGGGTCCTCGGAAAGGCGGCTTCTCTGGTCCCGGCTGGGACAAACAACTCTTCTGGCCAATTCCCCATGTTCCCATCCGCAGGACAAGGGAGCCACCTGCAGCTCTAGGCTTTGGGAGGGGACGGGTCAGGACGGCAGACAGAGGGGCGGGGCGAGGAAGAGCTGGCGCCGCAGGGGCTGGGCGGGAGCCCCCGTGCTGCGGAGGGCTGGCTGGGCAGCCTCGGTTTCCCCAGCAGAGATGGAGGAGGAGGGAGGAGAGGTGGTGAAAGAGGAGGACGAGGAGGAGGAGGGGGAGGGCCCGCTGGTGGAGGGGCCTAGTCCGAGTGGCGGCGGTGGTGTTGGTGTTGGTGTTGGTGCCGTGCGGTGGCGACGGCGCGGTCACATGAGGCTGCACTTGCCCTTGGCCCGCTCGCCCCGCTTCTGCTTGCCGGCGCGCTTGCCGTCCACGCTGAGGCTCACGCTGCGGCGCGTCTCGAGCGTGAGCAGCTCCTGGAAGAGCTCCTTGACGTTGTAGTTCATCTTGGCCGACGTCTCCATGAAGGCGCATTTCCACTGCTGCGCCACAGCCTGCGCCTCGTGCGTGTCCACCTCCCGCTGGGCCTCGTCGCACTTGTTGCCCACCAGCATGACTGGGACGTCCTCCACGCTGCCCTTGATCTGCACGATGAGCTTGTAGATGGGCCCCAGCTCCTCCAGCGACTGCTTGCTGGTCACGGAGAACACCAGGATGAAGGCGTGGCCCTTGGAGATGGACAGCCGCTGCATGGCCGGGAACTGGTGGCTGCCCGTGGTGTCTGTGATCTGCAGCGTGCACACGCTCTTGTCGCAGCTGATCACCTGCCGGTAGGTGTCCTCGATGGTCGGGATGTACGTGTCACGGAACGTGCCCTTCACGAAGCGCAGCACCAGCGAGCTCTTGCCCACCCCGCCAGCACCGAACACCACCACGCGGTAGTCGTTGCTTTGCTCTGGCATCTTCCCCAAGAGCCGGCTGGCTGGGGGCACTGGCCCGCTGCTGGGAGCCCGGACCGACCCTGTGCAGAGAGGACAGTCAGACGCCAAAGGCCACCAGCTGGGGAGGGGACAGCTCTGCAGTCCAGGAGGGACAGGCGGGAGGGGGGAAGGTGGCACGTGTCCCGCGTCCTGGGAGGCCCCTTCCCGGCCGTGTGGCTGACTCTGCAGTTCCGCCCGCTGCTGGGCTCACTGCCAGGCCCATGCCGCTTCCCCCTGACAAAATCTGGGGCCCACGTTTTCCCAGGGGACCCTGAGTTGGAGGAGGCACAGGAGAAGCCAGGACATGCACCAACCCGGCCCTCTCTCGGGCTCTGTCAGCTTCCTCTCTTTCAGGGTGGCCCTGGACTTCTGGGAGCCGGGGCACCCCAGCCCCAGCCCCATCCCTGCCTGACTCTGAGACTGGCGCCAACTGCCTCCCTCGCCATCTTGAGCCTCAGTTTCCCCTTGCCTTGTCCCAGTGGGTGACTCAGTGCGTTCCCAACAACCCCAGCTCCCTGCTCTGCTTCAGCTCACAGCACCCTACATTTCTTGAGAGGCACAGGGTGGGGTGACTTAAAAGTCAGCTGGTGCAGTGGCCCATGCCTATAATTTCAGCGCTCTAGGAGGCTGAAGCAGGACGACTGCAAGTTGGAGCCCAGGCTGAGCAAATTAGAGATTAGCAAGATCTGTGATGGCATACATCTGTAATTCCAGCACTCAGGAGGCTGAGGCTGGTGGATCACTGCAAGTTGGAGGCCAGCCTGGGCTACACAGTAAATTCAAGGCCAGCCTGAACTACACAAATAGATGTGATCTCAAAAAAAAAAAAAAAGTAAATAAAAATCGCTGGGGATGCAGATCAGCTGTAAGGCCCTGGGTTCAGTGCCCAGTACCTCAAAAAAATGCAGATTTCAGGGCCTCAGCCTTAAAAGTGGCAAATCAATTGTCCCAGGCCATGGCCAACTTGCACTTTTTTATTTTATTTTTTGCAGCACTCAGGATGAAACCCAGGGCCTCACACATGCTACGCAAACTCTCACCACCGAGCTACATCCCCAGCCCTCTGAACTTGCATTTCTAAGCTACTTCTCTGTTCCCTCGTAACTGTGACCCTGACGCTGAGGGTCCAGGAACCACAGTTTGAAAATCGTGATGCTGATTCCCTACAATGGCACCCAGGGATCCAGGAACTCACAGCCCAGGTAAAGATGAGGATCAAAACTAGAGCTTAGCTGGGCATGGTGGTGCACACTTGTGATCCCAGCACTCTGGGAGGCTGAGGCAGGAGGATCTCAAATTCCAGCCAGCCTGGGGAACTTAAGTCAGTTAGCCAGACCATCTCAAGATAAAAAATGAAAAGGGGTTGGGGATACAGCTAAGCGTGAAGGCCCTGGGTTCCATCTCCAGGACAAAAGAAAACAAAACTTTCAGCTCCCTAAACTCTATGTCCAAATAAGGGTCTGGCATGCCCTGGCCTCCTGCTCAAGTGTGATGTGTCCTTAGGAACAGACCTCCCTGGGGGGTCTTGTCATCATCTCTCACTTTGATGCTCAGAGAAGCCCAGCACCTCAGAAGGTCACACAGCACAGAAATTCCTGACGTGCTTTAGTGGGGGCAGAATTGTGGGGCGGAACCAATGTCCTCACTCATATAAAGCAGGGGGACCCTTCCCTCCTTCCTCCCCAGCCAGCTGTGGGTCTGTCCCTCAGCAAGGGCTCCACAGCAGGGGAGAGGAGCCACTCGCGGCCCCCAGCCTCGGCCTCCACCTACGCAAGCAGAGCGGCCAAGTTCCTTTCCTCAGGTGTGTGTGGGGAGGGTTTAGGGTCACTTCCAACTCAGGCAAGATCCGGGGCTGTAAACCAGCACTCTGGGAAGCTGAGGCAGGAGGATGGAAAGTTGGAGCCCAGCCTGTGCAGTGTAGCAAGAGTCTGTCTCAAAATCAGCAAGACTCTGTCTCAAAATAAGAAATTTAAAAAGGGCTGGGGATGTAACTCAGTGCGAAGGCTCTGGGTTCAATCCCCAGTATTTTGAAAAACAGTTTTTGTAGATTAGAAGATAACGCTCACTATTGTTATTGCAGCCCCCAGGCTGGGTGGGGGAGAAAGCGGCAGCACCAGGGGTTTGAAGGCACTTTCTAAATTATCAGAAGTTCCAGATTTGTTAGCGGAAAAACACGATGAAAGCGCAGCCAGCACATGGCCCAGCGACGCGCTGGGGAAACTTTTTGGAGCCTCGGGAAAGACCGTGCCCAACCAAGAGGTGGGTGCACAGGGCCAGGCCCTGCAACTGGCAACTCAGAACAAGAGGAGGTGGGGGCTGCCGGCAGCGCTGGGGCCCGTGTCCGCCAGCGCCCTTTCCCAGGTGCATACCGGCTGCGGCCAGACACTGCCACCACGGGGACCTGGGGGGACCTGTGGTGGTGGATTCTGCTGCCCTAGACCCAAGTTATGCCTTGTTTGGGGACCGAGGGCTGTGCCCCACCATCAGGGGGCTGGAACCCCCAGTCAGAAACCCCGGACCACATGCCTGGTGCCCCTCGAAGCACACTCTCAGCCCCGCTGCAGGATGGGGGTCGGGGGTGCCGAGCTTGGACGCAGACAGACGGGCTCAAGGTCACAGAGGCGGGAGGCAGCAAAGCGGAGCAGGACCTGAAGTCATCCCTGCTTGGTGACGAGGCCCCGGGGTCCTCGGCATCACACCAAGGAAGCCGCTCTGCTGCCCTGGCCAGGCAGACTTTCCCAGCCCTGGGTCTGCGGCCAGCACGGGGCTGGGCCCTGGGACCCTGAAGGTAACCCCGGTCCCCAAAGGCGCCATGGCCTTGGGGGTGCGGGGGTGGGAGGGATGTAGAGGGGGCGTCTGGAGCTGGGGCTGCGGGGCCAGGGAGAGGTTTCGTGGGCACAGGGCCAGCTCCAGGAGCCTGAGAGAGGGCAAGGACACTGGGGGGCTGCCAGGGACTCCCCGGACTCAAGGAGGATCTACACTCAGGGAAGGGTCCCAGTGAGGTCCTGGATGGCAGAGGGGATCTAGGGCTGGGGCGGAGGTGGGGACGCAGGGCCCAGCAGACTGCGCGTGGAGGGCACGCGGCCGAGGGAGGTCAGCGGTGTGGCGGGGGGACCGGCCCGGGCTGGGGGCGCCCAGGCTGCGGGAGGGAGGGACGGAGAAGGCAGGGAAGGAGCTGTCCGAGGTTCGCCACCGGCCCGGTGGCCGGTGACGAGGCCCTGCGCCAGCCCGGGAGGAGGCCGGGAGGGTGGGGCCGGGACAAAGGAGGGTCCGTGGGAGGGGTGGGGCCTCGGGGAACCCCTGCCCCGACCCCCGCCCGGCCCCGCCGCCTACCTGG